TATTAAAACTTGTATACAATATAGCGAATTAAAATGACATTGTTAAACGTGTTATCTTATGAACATACAAATTAAACATAATATTCTGATATAACACAAACGCGAGCAAAAACAAATGCAAACGATAATGAGAACCATTTTTTTAAAGATTAGGCGTAGGTTTCCACTGCTGAAATATTCATACAATACGCTAGACTAATTGACAGGTCACCAATGCCTCTCCATCAATGTCAAACAAGTGTCACAAGATCCTTATTGTACTGCAGTTGTCTCGTCATGTTTTTATTTTTGTCTATGGAGATTTTGCATATTTATATATAGAACTAACCGCGATAGCATCTCTATGGCCCAGACAACCTTGTTACAGTATACAAAAGTTTCGCCCGTGGAAACCTACGGTTACATCGAAACTATAACGTATGGAATGTGGAAACCCGACAAATACAGTGTCAATGTATAGCAAACAAATAAATAAATCTTACTAATATTAATGTGAATGTTTAGATGGATAGATGGATGTTTCTTTGATCTCCAGAACGACTGAACAGATCTCTGAAATTTAGCATAGATGTAGAAAATAATCTCGAAGAACACTTAGGCTTATAAAGTTTTAATATCGTGCAGACGTAGTCGCGGGGGACAGCTAGTACGTATATACGTTAGGTTTGTTAAGCCCATGATCTGTCAACATCCATATTTAAGAAAAACAATTAATATTACACGATTTTCCCTTACCATCGTTATCATGTTAATTAAAATTATTTCCCCTTTGTTAATTTGTTTCACATTTAATTAGGATTATTTATATTTAGAATAACAAACAGGACACAAATAACATAAATGTAATTCGCAGTTATCGTTAAAATTAATAAGCCATTATTTATTATTTTAAAAATAAAAAAGTGCGAAATATAAAATTCAATAAACAAGTGCATTGTTTAAATTGTAATTCCATATCCTATTTGCTTATGGAATGGGTTTTTTAATTAGATAGCTTATAAATTTTAATAAATGTATTCCAGGAAACTTCACACAAGAAGCGAGCCTAACTAGACAGAGGTACGGCGAGAGGTCAGCTCGGACAGCGACCGCAGCGAAAGCAGCCCTGGCTATGGCTAGACGAGATGTGTACCGCTGCGACCCTCCCGTACATAAAGAAGGTAAGAACGAACTCGTATTTATTAACTAACAAAAACATATCGTCATCACTTTCATTATCTTTGGGAAAACAGAGATAGCACTATTTCCGTACAGATGTTGCGGCGATCTAAACGAATATCTACGTGACCCAAAGGTTTCATTCATAAAAAAAAGCTTGTAAAAACTTAACTGCATTCGTACCAAATCTTACAATAATAATTAAATCGAGTTGGTAAAACCCGCCTCATATTTATACACCTTTTATCAGTTAGTACAAACATTTTTTCTATAATGAAAGAGTTCATACTCCCAGATTTTCGTTTTATTTTCCTTAACACATTCTAAAAAAGTTTCCTGTCAGTTAGTCATATTATACCTATAAGTTTAGTAGTTTTAAAGTAATGGACCAACAAACACTCGATTTCTATTACTAATTAAAATTTTGTTCCAGGTGAAACATACGCCGAAGTGACTCGTCTACTTCAAGGTTACATAGAGAACGAGGTGGACATGAACACGGAGGGGACATGCCGCGACAACTGCGCGTATTACACGCTGGCTGAGAGGCACGATTGCTTCAAGGATCAGTTCTGCTCCAGACAGGAGACATGTAACGGGAGGATCATCAACTGCCAATACATCGACTCCGATATGAACGTCTGTCAGGCCAGCGTTAGTATTTTTATTTAAAGGTTTATAGTTTCAGACATTATGAGAATCCTTTGGCGCGAATGACGTGCTTTTGTTAGAAAGTCCAGTGTCAGAATGAATAGTGAGGGGACATAGACGTCGAAATTTTAGTTAGGCTAGTGTTGTGCCAGTTCACCGGCACAGTGTCCGATTTTCTTGCTAACAATAGGTAGGTAACAAGATAACTAAGGCTGGGGCACTGCCTCGCTTATAAGTAGACTAAATATCTCAGTTTATTCATAAAATTAGTAACAAATTAAAAAAAAAAGTGAATTAGGGAAGAAAATGGTTTTATAAAATTAATCCACCTAGTCTGGTCTTTTCGATCGCAAATTTACTGCGTTGTATTGCACTAAAAACATATTAATTAATTTATTTAAAAGTTTTCGAACTTTTGTTAATTATTTCTTTAACGTTTGCAGGGCAGAAACAACAAGCGTCGATACGAGTGGATAGAATATGAAAACGGCAGGAGATTCGGCCAGTCATATAGCTGCTCGCGTCTGCCCGATAAGGTAAAAAACTTACTACATCTATTTCTTGAATTATTTCGTATAAATATCCCCACTTATATGTTTAAAAATTAGCTATTTAAAGAAATAGAAGTGCTCAATATTGGTAGAAGTGGTTTCTAAATTTCACGTGGATGGGCATAGTAACCGCGGTGCAAGTCCCACAGGTAGACTCATGGTGGCGCTGGCTGTTCTGGCACTGCTCGTACTGCATGTGTCTCTGCGACGAGTCCGGCCCAAAATCCGACCGCTACTTCAGCTTGTGGGACTCCACATCCGACGTTAAGAACAACAAGTTAGTCCCAAAATATTAGGACGCCCGCACACCTAGTAACCATCGTCCGGAGTACTATGTCATAACAATCAGTCGTTTAATAATCATTTTTTGTCTTAAGGTCGACTCGTGGTGGAAATGGAATCTCCTCCACTGCTCTTACTGCTTTTGCCTTTGCGAGGACGATGTCAACAAAGCGGAACGCTTCTTTAGCTTGCAAGAAGCATGCGCTGATGACACGAAGAACATGTCAGTACCAACACCGACTGAGAGGATTTAAGCTATAAATTCTAGCTTTGTAAATGTCTTCGCTAGATTAGAATAAATTGTTATAGGGGCTACAATAACTTTATTATTGTATTTTTACGTTTAGGAGTAGTGCTAACAGCATGGGTGTGCGGGGGTCTTTAATTGGTTAGTCTGAGAGATAAGGGTTAATATTTTTTTTCGATATTACAGGGTCGTGACTGGTATACGTCTGGTGAAGCACGGACGTGTGTTCCACCTTCAGATAAGCGAGGGTACACTGGGCGAGCGCGGTGCGGTGAAGGCCGGCAGCTGGGTACCGATACAGAAGTTCGATCCTAACGACCAGGGTTTCAGAGAAGGTACAGATTACCACACGCTCACGTACGAGAGGAGAGCTATCGATCTGGATGAATTAGACTCGCCTGTGGGACACGTACTAACCGGTGTCAGGTAATGTTGGCAAAAGGTGAAATTTCACTGCTTTGACATTTGTTCACCATGTTGTCTGTCTTTTCAAAGTGAACGACAGAGATAATATGATTTGATACGAGCGTTTCGGTTGTCGTAATTACCAAAAAGCTTGCGTTACTCTGTCAATTGTTTTAACTATTGTATGGCTTTTAGGTTCCGTATGATCGGTGCACATTTGCACTTCGAAATTCGATCGACACCGTTCAACTACACTACCGGTCGCCTCTCCCCGGAAAAGGGCATTTGGATTAGTAATGACAATACTGAAGGAGCGGAGAAACCGAGGTTAGTTTCTTTAAGACTATTAGTCCTACACACATGACGAAACCCAGAATATTTGTTAATTTCTATTGAAATTAATGCATTTAATTACTTCAGATCGCAGTTAACACTACACCGGCCGGATATACCGACGCGCAGTCCGATGCCGTTGTCAGTGGACTCCAAGCACGATCAGTTCATCGAGTTCACCAACACAGACTTCGAGGCTGACGCTGCGCAGAGCACCGTTCCCTTCATAGATATACAATCCGTACAACCATTGAAAGGTACGCTGTATTCTTTGGTACAGAAATAACGAGATTATATTTAATAGTTTCCAATGAGTTTGTTTTGTACCGGATACTAAAGACTCTTGAATTCAAACATAGCCCCGGAAGATTTAAATTGTTTTCAATAGTCGAATGTTTTGTATACTCATTAAGTTTTTACACATTGCTTTCGACTAATTATTGCCTGTCCCTTTATATTATTATAACCGGTACCAATATCCAGGTGGTGGTCTATCGAGCGGCGCGGGTCTTATCCACCGTGGAGCTCCAGGGTCTGGAGGTTTCATAGCAGTGAAACTGTTCACTTACGATTACTCGAGACATGTTAAGGCCGAGGTCCCGCCCAGTGCATACGAAGAACCGACCTCCGAGTTCACGCCCATCATCAATTAGGATAACAAAATATACTCAATTTCTTCTTAATTATAATTCTAATGTAATTTTTCGTAAATAAATTGATGACCAAAATTCATTTTGTTTAAATTTATACATTTTATATCTAGATTTTGCCGAACCTCTGAAGGGAAAGAGTATATTGAAACCTTTTCATTATTTTGGAGTCTGAATATCGACATGACTCTTGTGTTTTCATAATTAAAGTTTTAATTAAGAGCTCAAGGCTTTTGGCTGTAACTTGTAAAGGTTGTAAGGAATTTTAACTTCGTTACAGTAGGACGGTATTAGATAAATTAACTAAGGTTTTTACACACAATTTTAACATCATAAATGCAAAAGCAATCATTGAGCGTCGTTGTACATCGTGTATTTATTTCCGAGTACGATAAATAAAGATTAGATTTACTCTTCTTGTACAAACCACAAACGCAAGTTGGTTTGTGGTTTTTATACTTCACTTAGGTCAGTGTAAGTAATGTCACACCAAATTCTGCATAAAATCTTTAACACAAAATGCTACCTTAAATATACAAATAAATATAATGTTGTCGTTTATAAAAATACCTCTGTATATGTAAAAGTACGCTTACTAAGTACGCATGCGTGTGCGTATACGTGCTCACTTGCCACTTGTATGCACGTGTGAGTGCTCACATATACACACATGCATGTGTTTACGTGTTACGTTACGATGTGGGTGTGTGGGTGTGTGGGTACCTGCACTCTGAGCGGGTGCGCGGCGAGCAGCGCCAGCAGGTCCTGCGAGGGCAGCAGGTCAGCGGCGCGCAGACCGAGACAGCGCACTCCGGCGCACAGGAACGCCGCCAGGTACCGGTGCAGCGGGAAGTGGAACGACGCGTGCATCGCCTCCGTCTGACAACAACCATACATCTTAACTTGATTTATAAAGTAATCTGAAGTAAATGCGAAAGCCTAGATGGATGTTTGTAAGAAGGTATCTCGGGAACGACTCAACGGATCTTCATGAAATTTGGCACAGATATAGAACATGGTCTGGAAGAACATATAGGCTGCTTACTTAGCTTTTTTAATTCTGCGACTTCACGGGTAACAGCTATTTAGTATAAATTAGTTTATTCAATCAAAGTTGCGTATGCACGGATTTAAATAGGTGTATTAAGGATATTTTTGTATGACAATTACTACTGTAAATTTTCATGACTAAGGTGCATCATTGCTACTTGAAAATTATAACAAGATGAAAAAATGATACCTGCTGTGTTTAATTCAAATTGGCAGGTAAGAATGAGATTTTCTAATGTCTAGTTTACATTTTGTCAGAACAATAGAATAGTAAAACAGTAGCGGTGGCCTGATATGGACTGTATAGACTCACTAGCGCTAGTGTTTACATTATCAGTTATATCCCAGTACTGCTTTTGTGCGTCACTGTCTTACTGTACTGGCATAACGTAAACGTAGCGTTAATCTTAATTCAATGAGAAAACACAGTTTAACAAACCCGATGCATATGCGGCGTTGTAAAATTAACAGCGTCGAGCCAGTCACGTAGATATGCGAGCGCTGCGGCCACCATGCGGCGTGCGAGCGGCGCGTGCGCAGGCTCCGACAGATGGCCGAGCACTGACCACATGGGATACGCAGCCGCCTCCAGCTCGCATGAGAACGCCGCGTAGTACGAGGATGGTTCAAATTCTATGTGCCCGCCTGTTTCACGTACGTTCACGTTCATTCCTGGAATTTATAGAATAATAGCTTTATTCTACCTTACTCTAGATGTCATATGAGGTTTATTTCTTAGGACATTTTTTATTTTTGTTTTTTTTTTAGTCTCCACTTAAATAAATTTTTTCATTCGTTAAAAACTAACTATTGTACTGTAGATGTATTTTAGACTACTGTACTTAAATATAAAATTATTCAAAAACCAAAAAATTAACAAACAGAAAAACTCACCTTGCAACATAGAGAGAAACTCGAACCACATATCGACAAGCGCATCATCTTGTAGGAACAGCAACGCCACACTTTTATGACTTAACACATTATTGAAGTCAGAAACCAGCGGCCAATAGCAATGCTCCTTCATAACTCTTCGCGTGCAGTCGATCACACGGTGCAGGTTCGCGTCAGGGTCATGCAGGGAGTTGCGGACGAGGATACGCCCCATCATCAGACGCAGCGACAACACCATGACGTGGAGTAGATGCAGTTGTTGTACGCAGCGCAAGGCCAGAGCCTCATTAGAGAACAGTTGTACTGACATGTGCACTACTCTGTTGGACAATGTGTCGGGGTCAGCTGCACTTTCCAGTACCAGCGGTATGCGAGCGTAGTGCATCACGAACGTACGCGTTAGATGCTCCTGGAAGGTTAAACAAAACTCACATTTTACATTTACATCTATAAATAAAAAAAAATGACAATTATTTTGTTATTAGTTCAAGTAAATTTTACTTCTTATGATTATGCCTTGAAGAGCTGCTTTTTATTTAACTTACTAATATTATAAATGCGAATGTTTAGATGGATGTGATGTGGATGGATGGATGGGTGGGCTACACTAATAAAGTTTTTTTATATATCCACGCGGATGGAGTCGCGAGCGACAGCTAGTATGCCAATAAATAAAAAAGTTTTCACCTTATAATCTTGATCTGGCAACATGTTGAGCAGGAAGCAGACCACGTTCTGTGGAAACTCGTACTTGAAAGTCCAGAATATGAACTCGTCCAGCAGCGTGTTGTGCTGCAGCCGGGGAGCCAGCGCAGGAAGATGTCGGTATCTGTCAAAGTCAAGTTCAATGTTATAATAACTGACATAATTTCAATAGAAATCAAGCACTGATGGCTCAAGGGTTAAGCACTTGATTTATAATCTGTAGGTCCTGGGTTCAAATCCTGCCACACACCAATTAGATTTTCGATTTACATGTACATTTATTCAACGTTGGTACGGTGAAGGAAAACTTTGATGTAATCTGCACATATCCGGGAAAAATTTAAACATATGTTTGAAGGCGCAGTGCGGGTTGACCGCACCGTGCGTGACAGCGTGATCGACTATGGCCTGGCCGTCACTAGTCTCCAAGCCCCTCAGTGGGAACGTATAGTAAACTGATGATCATTTAAAATCTTTAATCGATCGCTAACGAAGACCCTAAGTGAGATTTAATATGACCAATAGTAAAGGAACATTTAAGTAAGAACACACAGTACTTTAACTGAGTTAATCTTATCACAGTGTGACAAATAAAATAATCAAGTTGTATATTGTTTATGGTTGCAATGAGCACACTAGCGACACTCACTCGTCGGGCGGCTCCGGTGCGGGGAAGGACTCGATGGCCTTCTCGTACATCTTGTTAGACTCGGCCATGTACCGCCCGTACTCCGTGTCCGGGAACGGCGGCTCTACCAGGTTGCGGTACATCTGAATAGTATAAATTATCATATTAATATTATATATATACTAGCGGACCCGACAGACGTTGTCCTGTCTACACGTCTTTAATTCGAATATTATTTAAAATTTGACACTGCGATGGTAGCGCCGTCTGTCGGATCCAATGTAAAATATTCCAAAATCAACAACTACTAATAAATTAAAAATTAATTAAAAAACATTGTACCTGTGGATTAATAAGTGCTTTCGTCATAGCAGATCGCATGAGGTCACCCATATTGTTAAATTCCATCAACATTTGCACGTATCCTTCGCACTCCTGAACCGCGATACGATAACTGTCTGATGTTGTTTGTGTACCCCAACTGAAAAGTGCAAGAAAATTAGAAATTATTTGAAGCATTTAGTATTGATAGACCAATAATATAGCATTTATCTGAGAACTAGCTGTCACCCGTGACTCCGTCCGCGAGGCATTAAAAAACGTAATTAGTAACCTATGTGTTTTATCAGGCCAAATTTCAGCAAAATCCATACTGTTCTGGAGATATCTTCCAAAAAACATCCATCCACTAGAGACTGAGACTGAATTAGGTTTGAGAGTTTTTAGAGTGGGGTGTTATTTAATTCTCCAGAGTATTATAGGGATTGTTAGTGAGGATAATAGGTTTTTTATATGAATAACAAGTTTGAAAAACATAAAGATAATCTTATCGGCAACAAGTTAATGTAATTAACATTTTGTTTTATGAGTTTCGGGTGTTAGGATGTCTATATTTGCTAAAATACTTATACCATAATAAACTTTAGTAAACTTCCTTGTTAAGCCGCATGTCAAGGCTGATAGAGACCAATATGACATCACTAGTACAATAATTATGCAAACAAATAATAAATACACAGAGAAATATACCATTTCCATATCAAAAACTAATTGCAAGATAATTCTTGACTAAAGCAAGGTACATTGATTTTAAATCCTAAATGAGACGGGACAAAAAAACTACAAGCGGTAGTTTTTGTTTTTTTATTCAAACATCTACTCATACCAGTATTCAAACTTGTATAACAATCACCTGTTCTCTCTAAAATGCTGGAGGAGTCGCAGTATAAGTCTGGGCATCATGGCCTCCGCTACACACATCAGCTCGGCAGGAGCGGCGCCCGTCCGCGGACACTTGTTGCCATGGTTACTGCAAAACCTGAAAAAAAAACAACAATCATTTTAGCATAGGTAAACAAAGGTTATTGTCGACCATTAACTATTGTATGGAATTATGTGGTGTCTACAATTTTGTTGGATTATACTGTCAGCGTAAAGATATGAAATCAAGAAGCTGTCAATTTTGTTATAAACTCGAGACTTACTAGATACTTGTAATTTCTGTATATCAAGCTTTAGTCCACGATTTCGACCGCGCGGAATTAAAGTTAGTAAGATTTAGAAGATTTTTACTTGCTTTTTTAATTCGATCACATAATATAATGCTTTTTTAATTCAAACTAGCAAATATGTTATATAAAGGTACTAGGATAGCATACATCTAACAGCATCTATTCACGAGTTTGATAAACGAGGACGTATTATCTAGGCGGGACACGGCCAAGGTCGGGAGCAAGGCCGAGGTGAAGTTCACAACACGTAACGGAAACATATTGTTTGGACACTAATCTAGATATCGACGTTTCAATACAAACTAAATTCTCTTATAGTTTAAAGATTATAAATCGGGATTACGGTGTTATTAAACTTAAAGTTATATGTTTTGTGCAATCTATCATCATCTATTTAAATATGAGCTTATAATTTGTTTAAACATGAATATATCTTTCTGACGACAAGACATTGTTGTTAGAAAATAATAATGTACAATGGCTAATTATTGCCTAGACTTATTTAACCTAGGGCTCTAGGTTATTAGCTTCTAATTTATATCTTATATATAATTTTTATCTTATATTCATAACGTAACAAGTAATAAATACTATTTAATTAATGTATCATTAGACATAGTGCAAGACCATAGTGAACGAGCACCAAATATAGAACCCGTAAGCGGCTTTCCTGTTTACGACTGGGGGCCGGTGGAGTGTGACGTCATTTACGCCCTCGCAGACAGAACAGAAAATACACCGAGAGTTCCATTAACTACTTTTATATACTAAAATATACATCCATATAACCGAACAACGATACAACCTAATACCTAGTAATTATTGATAAGTATTGTTTAATAAAAAACGTATCCTGTTAGTACAAGCATAAATAACATGTGAGTTATGTAGCATACGTAATTCACAATTCCAAAGATAGTAAAATTATCATTTTAGGACGATTCCTTTCATCTCCTATTCCAATAGACCGGCTCCATTATGCAGATCAATGCACGATACTTATTCGTATAAGGACATTATCTGGTCAGGAGTTGTGATTACAGGAAAACATCGGCAGACAGTTACCGCGACATACAATAGGATTTAGACTTTTTATGAGCACTTGAAGAGTTTGGTTGAGATTACCTTAGTTAGACTTTATTATTGGACACTCCTAATGTAGCCCTTGCATCTCCCACTACGATGAAAAGGAGAGAAAGACACTAAAAAGGACTAAATTGGGTTTTTATCTACTGGATAGGTCTATTATTCGTTATTCTCTATTCTCTTCTTAATAATGTCAAATATTTATTAGTCTATCTACTACCGTATGTTAAGTTCTTTTTCACTTACCCATCCTCTTTCATAACAGAATTATCCCCGCAGTCGCATGCCCCTCCTGCTTGTGAGAGGAACATGTTGAAGTCGTGCGTAGAGTGGTCGCCGCGGTGGAAGCAGTCCCTGCAGATGGACATACAGGGTGATATGCCACACGTGCGGCAGCGGTACGCCACCACGCGCGGTATCCACACCAGACCGCATTTATCGTGCTTGTCATAACTCCGCACTGTAAACAATAGAAAGTAATTTCATTATAGAGCGGACATTCCAAACTTCCCAGCTAACATTACGATAAGATTACGATTATCAAATAGCCAAATTACTGGATCTTTACCAACCAGTCCTGTCGATCTGAGAAAGATCACGTTTACATAATAATTTAAATAAAAAACATTAACATAATTATCTTAAAACACCCGATGACATTTAATAGATAAGCATTATGATAACGATCGGTTACATCAATCTCATGTTTTAAGTTTTTTTTAAAATTTATTTTGCTTAACTTGCAATACAGACCCAAAAGCTTTAAACGGACATTACTTATATGACTTGGGTTTATCTCTACCGATACAAGTACATATGTAAGTTAATTAACTTATTATGAAAGGTCAACTCCAACAGCCTTTGTCAGCTATAACTGTAAAAACCAATCTAGTTTTAGACATTATTAGTTTGAATCCTTTGGCGCGAATGACGTGCTTTCGTTACAAAGTTCAGTGTCAGAATGAATAGTGAGGGGACATAAACGTCGACATTTTAGTAAGGCTAGTGTTAAATCAATAGACTGGCTCATTTTCGGATTTTCTTCCTAACACTAGCCACAAGTAATAAAGAAGTCTACGCTTAGCTGCTTCCAGCGCCGTGGTGTGAAATCACTAATTAGTGTTAACATAAGTATGTGCTTACAATATTACCCGAATTATTTAAATTACATGTATATTACTTTTATTACAATCGTAAAACATTGCTCGTGAGAGTAGAACAGAGGCAATTTAAAACAATTTGAAGTTAATTATTAAAAAAATCGTGTCATTCATACGCACATATTAGGGGCGACTATGTATCAAATTCTTTCCATCCAAGATATGTATAGGGGCAACTTAGTAATTTTGGAATGTGGTAATTTTTCTTCGTATAGTAATAAGGTGGCTTGTCATTAGCCGCTGTCGTTTGTCCTGTATATGTCAGTGAGACCGTTAGTATCGTGTCCATATATAAACAATACATAAAGTGCAATTAGTGGTAACGCGTGAGCGAGCCGTTTGTCATGCAGAACGGTCGCCGTGTACTTTATTGTATAAATACTTAGTCATTGTAACCTTCTCAGTTCATCATCATCAACCTGCCTTATCATTTAACAGTGGTAGAGCCCGCTTTAACATCTTCGCACGAATTGGCCCGGCTCAGCCGGTGAAATACCACGACCACACAGAAGACAGGCGTCAAGTGCACATAAATCGACCTACTCATTAGGGACCGCAATGCTAATTAGTTGTGTGTACGTATGATTTTTGTGAGATGAATTATCGAACTATGTACGAAGTTATATTCAAACAAATTCCATCAAGTACATAGAGGTCGCGCAATCAATGCTCGCTGTGATCGCCAACATTTTGACTAAGTCACGGTGACTCAGTTCAGACTTCGACAACTATAGGCAACACGACTACGGAGTATGTGAAAGTTCACTTATAAGTATGAATACTAAATTTTTGTCTTTTATTCAGAAAAAGCACAACATAGTAGGTAATAAAGAACTTTTGTAGCATACTCGGCTTACTATTGATACTCAAGATTAGAAGAATTAGGAGGGAGAAGGAGAACACAACTAACATTTAATTATAACTACGTTTGAAACATAAAGACGTTGAATTTATACGACCCTTAAAGCTATTAGCGTAGAACTCCCCTATACCTCCATTTATATTAAAACATATCGTTGTCTCAATTTTATCAAAGATAATGAAAGAGATGCCAATATATTAATGTAACAGCAATGAAATTATACGGTTAACATACACATTGGTGACATTTCAATGAATTTACACAGCTGTATTGTAAAGTTGTTTTGTCCATAAACAGTAGTCATGTTTCTCACGAAAGCGATAAGCGTTACAATTAGCATTTATTTATTCAAATTGTAGAAAGATATCGAAAACATACTTTGTAGAATTTCTCTTATAATTTGACAAACAAACTAGGGCACTTTAAAGTCGCTGTTTATTTAAAAACCTTTATAGTATTGCCACACTTTTACCAAGTTAGTTACTCATTGTCTTACATTCTTTCACAACTAATTTTAATCCAAAATAAAACATAGTAAAACGACTTTCTTAACTAACAGGAAAATAAACTGGAAACAAAGTTTATCATAAAATTATCAAAGTACGCAACGACCTAGACTTCAATTCAATACAATAAGAAACTAGGACAACGTCGGATGAGAAGGGTAAGCCAATCGGAAGTTCCCATGACCTGAAACTAAGTCGGTAATGTTATTACAACGAGAGACATTAATTAAAACGTTTAGTGTAACACTAATATACATGTATTATTTCAAATGGAGCGGATAAAAAAATAAAGCGTCAATAGCCTAATGGTTTAGGGTGCGGATTTCGGATCACGAGGTCGGGAGTTCGAATTTTAGACTCTCTATTGCCGCCATTAGGCTATTGTCGTAAACCATATCCTAGCACAAGCCTAGAGCTTAGTTGGAATGGTACAAGAAATATTAGTAAATGTACAAAAAAAAATTAGCAAATATTAAAAAAAATGAATGTAAAAAGAAAAAGGTCAAATTCCATACGTTGTAACCATTATACTATTTCTTATATTCCTCAAAAATGTTGTTGTTATGAGGAAATTCTGAGATGTATCAACTATGATAGCACATAGTTAATCTAGATAGGGGATATAAAAAAAATGACAAGGCCCCCCAATTAACCGGGGCAGCGAGGCGGGCAGGCGGGCGCGAGTGAGTTATGAAATGTCGGGCGTCGCCACCATGGTTGTTGAACCTAGCCTAAGCGCTGACACGTGGTGACGATGACACTAACAAACTTTTTTAATAAATATATGGCACTTCAAAGAAGATTAAGAATCCAATGACACATCTCTTTATAAAATCGTTTTAGGCTTTTTGGCTTCTCGTCGTAAAAACGTAAATAATTGACCGCGAATAACATCATACGTGTAATCTTTGATAGCTTAACAAAAATTGCAGATCGAATCACGATTCGCATGTGTAAAAAAGATCACTGAATCGGTTCACAGCTCAGCTGAATTTGAAACTGCATAGAAATATGATTTGTCTTACGAGTTGCGAGTCACTAGTCAGTATGAGATGTAAGTCCGCGATAGCGTGAATGGTCTTTTTGCGACTCGCGGCTGGTCGTTTCGCATATTTATAGGTCATCGCATTGACTTGTGACTTGCCCATTTAGTTGTTGAGCCGCAGCTCAATTCAAGTCTATGTGAGTTGATTTTTTGAGCCGTATCAAAGCTTATTTACACATATCTATATACTTGTAAGATGTAGTTATATAAAAATACAGACATAGTAGCTGCAAAACGAGCATTTCTCACAAAACATGTAATCCTCGGGATCATAAATTACACTGGTAACATTTTAAATGTATAATTATGTTGTGAAAGATAAATATCAAAAGAGACATTACCTTTTACGTATTTCAACATTATGAAAACGCTCCTCAATATCATAATTTAAACCAAACAAACTTAAAGAACTTCAAACAAAAAGAATATTACATCAAAAGTATTATTTCAAATCTTTGTTCAATTACATTGATGTAATCTATTTAAATCGCAACGATTATTAACTCTGGCTCACATCCAAATAGTGGGCATAAAAATGTAACAATCTAGCCTAAGCCAAAACTAAGTATTATATGTAACTTGGCCTTCGTTTTCTTGCCAAAATATGTATTACACTTTAAATTATACGAAATATAATTCCATAAAATTCTAATAAATAAATAATATTAAACTAAACTTATCGTAGTTATCGTAATAGACCTTTAATATTTCTAAACGAATAGTATAAATAACGTGAAAAAGTACAAGAATTTTTATTTAAAACGAAGTGAGAAGTAATGTTATATCATTTTATCAGTAGTTTGAATTCAATAAAAAATTATAAGTCGGCAGAGTGTGGAAGACAAATGGCTGTTTGGCTCGTATATGTATTGAACTACTGCAGAGCTAGGGTTACCATAAAACGTAGCCTTAAAGGGACAGGCAGAGTTACAATATCGTCAATATTAAAATTAGGGTTGTATCACACTAGTCCATCAGCAATAATGTACATTTAAGGAAGACTTCGTATTGGTTGTCAAAATACGCAATTAAAACAGCGTTTTCAAATTGCGACAATGATAATAAGTTTTAATTAAAATGTGGATATTAAATATATCGTTAACTTATTAACTTAAAAGGCTAATTTCTAGCTTTGTTGAAGATTCCTACACACAGGATGTAAATATTATATACACATAAAAATAAATAAATACTAAGCATTACTTTGTAAAGGTACATAATCAAGTCAATAAATAAAATCCAAAGACAAAAAGAACCACTAACATAAATATCTAGACATTGCACATAAATCCGCGTTGCTAACAATCGCCCTGCGACTAAGAAAGTTGATCAGTGGAGGACAAAAAGAGGCCTGTTTATTCTTAGAACTGGTCCTAACATCCGAGGGGAGCAGGATAAGTATAATACGACGGATACAAGATACAAATACCTAAGCCGCTAATAAAACATAACTTAAATACTTTTATAATTAATAAAAAAAACGTTATAAAGCTATAAGATATATAAAGTGCGTATTACATCTTACTAATATTATAAATGCGAAAGTTTGGTTGGATAGATAGATGGATATTTGTTAGAAGTTATCTATAAAACGGTTCAACGAATCTTGATGAAAATTGGCACAGATGTAGAAAATAGTCTGAAAGAACGCATAGTCAACTAAGTTTTTCAAATTGATAAATAGGCAAATTAATATCTTATTTTAAGTAAATAAAGCTATTTATGCTTTAGGTCCAAAATTTTAGATAGTACTGTCCATGGAAGATTCGGGGTCTGCAGAATGTCTTGAGAATATTGCATATATCTTTACATTCTCTTGTTTTTGGTCTGCGAAAGGGGTGAGTTGTGATGGCCAAGAGAGATGCGATAGACACGTGTTCGATCAGCTGTTCACTGTTGCGAGGTCGACGGCCGGTGACGGCGGCGGCGCGATCGCTGACCGGTACAGTAGCGGCCGCATTGCAGTCAACGAACTCCAGGACACTGGGGGCTCTCCAAACTTGTCCTGCGCCTGCGGCCCGGACCCAAATTTATGGCTGACTGGACGGACTGATACGGAAAAGGTGGAGACGATACCATGAATTTTGGTACTAATACTAAACTCTGTTTTAGTAAAGTGTTAAAAGTGCATTAAAAATCCTTCTGCACATCGTTCATGAGGCGAAACAAGTAACTGTTTCTCACCCGAAATCTGCTATCGACAGTCTATTAAGTTACCAGTAGCGGTAGCAAATTCTGTCTTTCAGGCTACCTTGATTATACTACATTGTAGACCAAAAAGTAAACATTCTTTTCAGTAACCTTTTGCATAATCTATACAGTAAATAAAATTGGAATGTCTGTATGTAGTATGGAAAAAAAACATACTTCGTACAGATAATGTATTTGCGTTGCTGATAACGAAAAACGTGCGATTCTCGCGCAATTTCCTGCCATACACAGCCTCGTTGTGGAACGGTCTAAAGTCGGCGGCATTTCCAAACCAGTACGACTTAGTTCTCTTCAAAATGTGAGCGTCATCATCATCAACTGACTATAGTCCCCACTGAGGGGCTCGGATCCTACCCTAAGCCAGGGTTGTCTACGAAAAAATATCCAGAAGACCACGTTTGTTTCGCGTCATCCTCTGAATAACTGTAATGATATTTTTTTTTATTTGTCGCTGAAGAAGAAACTTGTTTGTAACCGAATACCAAGTACTAAAAATTGTTCAAATATGTAAAGAGGAAGATTGGCGTGCAACATTCCAGGTCGTTGTAAAAGATGTCTATTTAAGGTGTGTCTGCGAACACAAAAAATGACTGCTACAGACGGACGGACGAGCGAGTTTAATTAACTCGGAACTAGTTTTATTTTATGGTAAATTATTTCTACCGCGATGCTGTAACTCACATTCTATGGTTCTATTTCTCGTGCAAGCTGCCTTTACCACTAATCAATTGAAAGATAATTCCTGATTCAATTATAAGATTAAGATACCTTTTTTTTCTATTTCTACGTTAGTACCTTAACAAATATAAATGTCAAAGATGTGTCATAGTAAACAGGTGTAAGCAAAGAAAACATTCATTAAAAATGTACCAAATAAATTTTAATAGCAGGTGTATTTTTGCCTATGGCCTTGGTTAATTTCATCGTCGGTGTAATTTATTCATGCAAGTCAAAAATATTTATTTTCGGATCAGTATATTTTATTGCTTTGCGTCAGATGTCGGAGGGGGAAAACTCGAGTGCCTCGTTAAAAGAAAATGATCGGTGCTTTTTCAACAATAAACAAACCATGGTCAATGTAAAGGCTAAGAACAGGAAGGTGCTCTTTTGGTTTAAGGCACATGACGCACGCATTGTGTTTTGAACATTTTTAATACATCTATGGCTTCTCTTCTAATAGTTCTGTAGAATTGGAAAATGGTAATGGACACTCTAATGTTTTCGTGTTTATCGTGAGTTTTAAAACACATTTTTTATCTTTGTTAGCAGAATGCAGTTCATGAATACAAATGGTGGTATGATTAATCTGAACGATGCAAATGTATTCTGCGCGCCTATTTCACATTACGCGTATCAGACGCATTTCGGAATATTGTTTTAGTTAAGTGTTGTTCTTGTCAAACCACTCATTTGATGTTTACAAACATTTGTGTAAACTAAAATACATTTGTGTGCCGGAAGCCTAATTTTAGTAATTTTTTCCTTTCCACCCTTTTCTTATTTCGATAGGATGAGAATGGGAAGTGGATTGACAGAGATGGGGACGCATAGAAGGGTATATAGATTATTGTATTATATAAATATGGATACTATTGGAAGATATATCGATGATTCAAAAGCTTTTATAATATGTTGACGACGACTTTATAACTTAACAGATAAAAATTATAGGTATAGTAAAATGACTCATTACCGGAGTAAGTCATTTTCTTGCTAAATTAAAGCTTTTAAAACATCGTAACTTGTCCATTAAGTACCTACAATAGCAGTTGAGATATTGAAAAGTTGTGGGACGTTGACTTTTCGAGGTTATTTATCTTTAAAAAAAATTGTAGAAATATTTCTAAAGGTTTTTTTTCCGGTTAATAACAAATATAATGTTCGAACAAGATTTTGGTAAAATCACAAACAAACATAGCGAAAACCATGGCCAAATCTCATCGATGTTTACGGCAATGCGTCGAAGCCCGCATATACGAGCGGCCTTCGCTGCGAACCCGGTCGTCTTGACCCTACAGCGAGGTTGGCCAATTGGGTCGGAGTTAGGGTTGCCATGTTATAGAAATTTAGAAAAAATACGAGAAATACCAAAAAGGTTAGTGATAATCTTATTATGTTTTGACTTGTAAAAATCACCTATGCCTAATTATATGGAGGCTACTGTGTCGAAAAACATAAATAAAATTGAATATCACATATAATACGTATAGGAGTTGGGTAAATATCCTACGTGCATAAATTATCTCAGATCATTTCGCTTATCACTGCGTTTAACAGACAGATTGGCGATAATGTCACAACCTATAGTCATTAATATACAAAACCGGTTTGGATACGCAAATTATTGGCTGGTCTGAAATCGCACCAAGCGCTTTAAGTCCCAACATAAAATAAAGCAAATGACATTTCCAATAATTAGAAAACAATATATACATCAACTTTATATCCTTTATCCCTAAATGCGTCCTACATAATCAAAAAGTGTGATATCTGTGTGATTTATCAGAGCAAAGTGTGACTCATACAAGGTCACTTCACATCTGCTTCATGACATTGACCAGAAAAAATGGACAACAACAGTCATCTGTTTGTGAATTCACTTTAAATACATTTACCTTTGTTTGTGATACCTTAGCATATTAAAATGTATTCGCATTGTGAAGAAATCAACTAAATTCAGCATTATAACACTTTATTTAAATAATGTTGAAACAAAGAGACGGTACACCATACCCCTCTTTATTTCTTTAATTAATTATGTAAATATCTCTTACATTTAATTTTCATTGTTGGCTACATCCTCTATTTTTAAGGAAGATTAGTAATTACTGTAGATTTTGAAAAGACAAGAAAATACAAAACACCAACCAAAGAAAATCAGAAAGCAACTCTTTTGTTACTTTGTTGACATAATATAGTAAAACTTAAAATGTATAAAAGCTTTGTAGTTAGCCTTTATAAGTGTGTCTACTATAAAAGTCAAATAAAATTTGCAATCCATGTGACTTAATGTTATACATAGTTAAGACTAGCACTATACTAACCTAGCAGAATATGTTTGTGTATTTAATCTATTTGGTACTTTTATAACACTCTACATTAGCAGCTTTAACATCCCTTTTCTGCACCTCTTATTGACAAATAAAAAAATCAAGTATTAATTTAATTATTAACAAATTATTGTGACATATATAAAGGTTGCATTAAATAATACCTTCCAAGAAAAGAATACATTGGAAGTATAAAAATATTGTAAAGTGACAAAAATATCCAACTGTATCTCATAACCTAGAAAACTATGGCAATTAAAGAGTACAGTTATGTCTTTATGTACTTACCAACTGCCGCGAATTCATCGGGTGTTCTGCCTCCAGCCAACAGCCATCGGCACCAATCTATCGTTTCCCATTCGTCGATAGCCTTGCTAGGGTTCAGCAGCACGTCCAAAAGTGGCCCCAAGTGCTGGGGCGACCCACTGGCGCAGTCCGCATGTATGTACGAAGCTGCCCCCCTTTTACCCTTCTTCATTAATACTTGGGCTGTCGAATTAGACATTGTAATACACTATTCACTATCGCTGGTTTCGACCTAAACACCGAACACATAAGTCACTATATATTTCGGTCACTCACGGAAGAAACACCATTTCCAGTTTTACATAAGGCAATGAACTGCGGTCTGTAACGCATCCGCGGTCAAACATGTTTTAAAAGCATAAAAATCATGAGAGTTACAGAAACACACAAAATCTTTTAAAACAAAAGAAATAACGTTTAAACTAGCACGTAAGAACGAAAATTTATTAAATTTCACAATTAAAAATAATAATAGAGTAATGCAGAAACAACTCGGCCATTTAAAAGTGTTGCCACTTTATTGACAGATTTTTTTTAGCTTGGTTGTTGCTGCAGTTAGTTGTGATACGAAGAAAAGCAAAATTTCATACTTTTTTGCTATACCAAACTTTTCAATTTAGCAATTGCGGTAATAATGTTTCCTGGCTAAAACCCTGTCGTTAATTGAACCGTCCCACAGCTGATGATGACCGCGTAACACAAAATATTAAGATACATTATAATTAATGTCATGTACATTTAGATAGATTTAATTTATAGAACAAGTTTTTGTTATGACAAATATCATTACGTGTGCAAAATAGGCCTAGGCACTTCCATATGTATGCCGCATATGGAAGTGCTCTCTTTTTTAGAGGAACACAGGGGACACGGGCATTGGTTACGGGGCAACACTAATTCTATCTCTGTCAAGGAGCTATACTTTATACTTTATCTATGGTCTCTGTCAAGTTGATACGCCATGATGCCATGCTTTCGCCATTGCATCACATGGTTTGAAACATGAATATAAACATAAAGGTTTAGTTGTTTGAAATTAAATAATACCTGGCGGTTTTCTTAATTTTTGTGCAAGCTATCGATAATAATCTGCTACTTTGTGTCGTAATATTCCTTGCCTTTATTACTAGTGGTTATAATTCTTGAACAAGTGGTAAATAACACAACATACACAATGGAAGAAGACAAAAAGGTTATGTTTCATGAAATGGAATTAGATGATAGAATACTGAAGGTAAGTTAATTTATTAGATAAATAGAAGCATGATTATTAAACAACGTAGGAGTTTTTTAATTAACATATTGTGTGTAATGTTAGTAAATGAATGTAATTGCGCAGGCCATATCTTTACTGGCGTGGCCCCATCCAACACTGATTCAAGAAACAGCGATTCCACTGCTTTTGGAAGGCAAAGACGTCCTCATACGAGCTAGAACTGGTTCCGGAAAGACAGCAGCTTTCGCAATACCTGTTATTCAAAAAATATTGAATTTGAAGAATACAAGTACACATCAATGTATACGAGCACTAATATTGTCTCCCAGTAAGGAGTTATGTGGACAGGTAAGATATTCCTTAAACTTTTTCTAACCTATAAACAATACTTTCACCATAGACAAAATGTACATTTTTATGATAAAACTTGGCAAAGGAAAAGACAAACCTAATTAAAATGTCAATGTAACTTAGCTATCTCTATACTACACAATATTATTTTGATTAATTTTCAACTTCAACTTTGATTTGTTTCTCAGATAGCATCAGTAATTGGTGACTTGACCCTCAAATGTGCTAGAGAGGTCCGTTGTATAGATATATCATCTAGCGGAGATATGCAAATACAAAAATCCCTGTTATCAGACAAACCAGACATTGTTGTGGCGACACCATCAAGAGCACTGGCACATTTAAAAACGAAAAACATGAGGTTAAAAGAAGATCTATCCATGTTGGTTGTGGATGAAGCAGATTTAGTATTTTCATTTGGATATGAAGATGAAATAAAAGAACTCTTAAGGTTGGTAAAAATGTCCTATTTTACATAATGATAATCTTTGGTGTGTTAAAATTGTCTAATGCAACTATGGTTAGATACAACTATAAAACATATTTTTTTATATTGAATAAGCTAGTGATTGACTACAATCCCACCTGATGTTATGTGTTGAAGCGGTCGAAAGATGACAAACTTAGTAAATACCAATTCACTCTACTCTTGGAGGCCCGTGTCATACTTACTAAACTAAAAACTGATGCTGGCAACTTGTTCCAATCTTTTATACTAAAGAAAAACATATTGACTATAAAGATTATTAAGGATCAGTCCTTAACATTGCCTGTCCATTAAATGTTGTTTCAACCATGATAACATTTTTATCCAGTTGTATAAAATTATCTCCCAATAGTCACCCCTAACCTAGGATAGGCTCTGAGCCCATCAGTAGGGACATATAGTGAGCTGATCATGATAAAATTATCATGTTACAAAATTCCAGTGATTACATAATATGAGAAATCACTAGTATTATTTACAAATTCATTAAACAATAGCGCAAGCTAAAAGTAGTTTTCATTATTAAAACATGTTATCCTACAGTTATTTGCCAAAAATCTACCAAGCAGTTCTCGCTTCAGCCACACTATCAGATGATGTACTAAGTTTAAAGAAAATTGTACTCCGGAATCCAGTGACATTGAAACTTGAGGAACCGGAACTGGCGCCATCATCACAACTCCAACATTACCATTTATTTGCGGAAGAGGATGATAAGGCAGCGATATTGTATGCACTTTTGAAGTTGAACCTTATTAGAGGGAAGAGCATAATTTTTGTTAGAACTGTGGATAGGTGTTACAAGTAAGTAAAATGATATTAATTAGTAATATTACATACGCATAATAGTTTGGTGAGTAATTTTCTTACTAATATAAATGTAATTATTTAGATGGATGGATGGTTGTTTGTCATAACATTGTAGGTAACTACAAAACATCTTAAGAGATATCTGTAAAATTTGCCATAGATGTAGAACATAGTTTGGAAGAATACATAAGCCATGTGTTAACATTTTTTTTTATTAATCCGCACAACTAGTAAAGTAATCCCTTAACATCAGAAAACATGTAATATCTTATTTATTTTATTAAGTATTTTGACATAAATTTTGTCTAGTTTATTATCAACTAGTTCCAGTTTAACTTGTATATATGAGAGTCCAATGTACTGCAATTTTTTTGCTAACAGATGTTTCTCTCTTATGCGAGTTTCATCCATGTAGAGGTTGTCTGTCAAGACAATGACTAGCTTATAGATATTGTTTAATCAGGTTTAACCAATAATAGTATTATAGTATTCCCTCTAATGTTTTTTTGTAATTTCACTTGCTTTTCAGATTGAAATTATATTTAGAACAGTTTAAAATTGGTTCCTGTGTTCTTAACTCGGAGTTGCCAGCTGCAGTTAGATGTTTGTCTGTAGATCAATTCAATAGAGGCAGATATCAAATTATAGTGGCATCCGATGAGAAAGCATTGGAGAAACCTGATGGTGGATTACTGGCTCCTGATGAGTGGGGGAAGAAGAATAAGGTATATTATCCTCAATTTTCTTATAATGTTACAATTAGCATTTTTTTTGTATTGAAGTGAACATAAACATTGGGGCTTCTGTAGATCTCTCTCCTTGTGCTTCCAGCAATACAACTTTTTAATTAAAGGTTTGGTTTACATTATTCCAGTCTAGTGATCTGCGCTGTATTACAACTGGAAAAGTTTAATTACAGACTGGAATCACACCAGTGTATTCCAGTATATTATTACATTTTATCAATTGTAATCCAGTGCTCACATCAATCTTTGGACTAGAATAATGTAAACCGCATATAATTCCGTTATTTTATTATAAAGATACAGATGTGTCATCTGTCATTTCTGGCAGATGTTATAGAAGTGGTAGCCGAATATGAAAATAATATAATAGTTATGACAAAGAAAATCTATTTGCAGTAGAATTGTATGTTTGTCAATTGATCTTATTTTAAATACCAATTTATTTCTCTTTATTCAGCAAAAATCAAAACGGAAAAAGGATAAAGAGTCAGGTGTATCTCGTGGTATCGACTTCCAGCATGTATCAAATGTTATTAATTTCGACTTTCCTCTGGATGTGAACTCTTATGTGCACAGAGCTGGCAGGACTGCTAGAGGGAACAACCAGGTGAGCAATTAACTTATAAATAAATGTTTCACCAAGACTCCGTTTGCGGAGAATAATAAAAAAACTTACTAAGTAACCTATGTGTTTGTCTAAACTGTATTCTACATTTAGTCCGAATTTCTAGCGAGATCCATGCAGCCGTTCTGGGGATACCTTCTAACAAACATCCATCCATTATAATATTAGTAAGATTATTTTCAGTACCATTATTTTTGCTAATATATAAAGAAATATAACATAATTATACTATGTCTCACTATTATGTACTATTATGTATTAGTTACCACATAATGAATTAAAAATATATTTCTTGTGCTAAGTTATTATTTTACATATTATTTTGTTATGGTTTCAGGGTTCAGTACTCTCATTTGTATCACTTCGGGAGAAACCCCTCATGGATGCGGTTGAAGAACATTTGTCTAAGGGTTTTAATGGAGAAAAAGTTTTACAGTAAGTTTTCAAGTATAATAATCCGTTTAATTTCATGTCCCGAAAATATTTGGCTTCTAAATCAAAGTACAATTTTAGTTTGCTTAAACTAATATAAAACCTTGCATTTTAATTGACTAAAAATAATAAGGCTTGTGGAAAGAATACGTATTGAATTATTATACACTTACTGTGGGTTTCTAAGACCAAAATCTATGTTTCAAAAATAATGTTATCTCTGTTTTGTGTAAGATAATGATATGTTTTTTATACACGGATTTTGGTCTCACAAACCTACTATTAGTGAAGCTGTTTAATAGCGATAACGGATTAGGGTACTTTAAAATATGACACAAAACTAAAAATTCGAAAATTTTAATAAGTATTTTATATAATCTTAATGTATATTAAATGTTTGTCATTAGGAAATATGAGTTCGCGTTAGAAGAAGTGGAAGGATTCCGATACCGATCACGTGACGCGTGGCGCGCAGTGACGCGCATTGCGGTGCGCGAGGCGAGGCTCAAGGAGATCAAACAGGAATTACTTAATTGCAAAAAACTACAGGTAATTTAAAAACTGATAAAAACAAGCTTTAAAAAGTTGTCTTGGTCTTTACCTGCTCGAAGGACCATTAACTTTACGAAATTTCATGAAACTAAAATCAGAAATTTTTGATTAGAGTAAACGGAAAGTTATAAGCAGAATGGAAGTCTATTAAGTCCATAAGGTCTCTTAATAGGAATAGACTACATTTTGGTCTTACATTTCTTGAAATATATAGCTCAAATGATGACACCATACAAACATAATACATTGATGAACGACTAATCTTCTCTCTGACATACACATCACACATTCGATACAAACCAATCCATACAAAAACTACAAGAATTTCTTCTTTCCAGGGATATTTCGAAGAGAATCCAACAGACCTTGCAGCGTTACGAAGAGATAAAGCGCTGCATACAGTAAGATTGCAGCCACAGCTTGCTCATGTACCAGAGTACTTATTACCAGCGGCGTTGAGGAATGACACTCCTGAGCCTGATGCTGACCAGCCTCCGGAACCTACCAAGAAAAGAAAACACAAACCAGCAAACTTTGGTAGTGCTAAGAGACATAAATATCAAGTAAGAATAAAAATGTTTTTTAAAGCAAAGTAAATTGTAATTTCTGATCTCTATTTCTTGTTCTCTTTTTGTTTCTATGAGTAAAAGAGACAGTTGGATTTAAGAATTCATTTGGAACGGCTTTATACTGAAGGGTTTGAGAATTTTCAACGCTAAAAATCTCTAAAAATATATTAATATGTTTTTTCCATTTAAAGAAAACTGTTAAATGATTGTCTTATATATAAAATTCTCGTGTTACAATGTTAGTTACCATACTCTTACGAAACGGCTTGATCGATTTTGATGAAATTTTATATGCATATTCTGTAAGTTTGAGAATCGGCTATCGGACGGAGTCGCGGACGACAGCTAGTTATACAGTAAAATATATTTTTAATGATAGTTTCTTTGTTTTAGGCACGACAGAGCGATCCTCTTCGCAGCTTTGCACTGAACAATCTTAAGAAAACCACCTCAACGAGCGATACATAGCCTTAGCCTTGTTAGTATCTGATGGAAAGAGATTTTTATAAAACTAAATAAAAAACAACTCTATATATATTTTTAATATTCTGTCCTTTTTATTCATCTTTGTTCTTTTCTATTTATGTAAATAAATGTATTTTAAGTGTTGTTTTTTTTCTTCCACGCAGTGGGCGCAGGTGCTTTGGGTGCGACGTATGGGTTAGTTGTCGGGATGTCGGTTAGTACTAAGATATCGCGTTATTTCGATATACAAATATACTGTTTTCTGTTTTTATGTTTGTTTATTGCTTTTTGTGATTGGGTTGATTTCTTATAATTAACAGTTAATTCGGTGTAGATTTTGCTAGACTACAATAGAGATGATGCGACTGAATGCTAAATGAGATAATCAGATTATTAAGATACGATCAAGGAGAAGAAACAATCACGTTAAAATATAACTAGAATATGGTAAATTGGATGGTGAAAGATATAGATGATAAGGAGAGAGACAGAGAGAGATATCAAATAAGTTTTACAGTTCGTAATAAAATATCGTAGGCATTATTTTTTCTAATTTTAGTCCAGTCAATTCTTTCCTTATAAGAATAAGGTTAGAAGAGGATTAGTACTCGTCAGATGAAACGCGAATTACTTCACGCCAGTTTTCTGCGTAATTTCGGTATAGCACCGTTTGAGTCGGCAATATTCATTATAAGCTTTATTTTAAATCTAACCTATTTTTTTGTATAACTCAATAAAGTTATCGTAATTTTCTGCATCAAAAATACATTCGACTGGTCGCGTCGATTCTAGTATTTTATTTGAGTGAAATATAAAGGACAGCGCAGAACGCATGTCCAACTACCAAAAATTACGCGTACGACGTATCTCGATATGAGATAGTCACAGACTAACTGTATCCAGCCGCAGTGCAATGACTGGAGCCAGTCCGGGGCAACCGCCTTCGTGATCACGGTACACCCTACGCAAGGTTAGTATGTCTCCGTGAGATTGCGCTCCGCCTTATATAACCCATCTGTTAACATCTCTACACCATGCACTAATTTTCTTACAGTGACATCTATTGTTTAATTGAATAGATTAAATCTGATTGCTAGAACAAAAAATTGCTTAAGATGCGTTCTCGATATCGTTTTATTTTTAATTAATCTTATAGACAATAAATATTTTTTTAATTACTAAAATCTTACAAAAAAGTATTATTAAAAAATTAGAGATGTCAATTATATGTTACACTAATTCGAAATAATACACAAATCAGAAATTGTAGTAGTTGTTAATTAATTTAAATAAAGGTATAAAACTCTAAATGGATTTAGAAATTCTTCTCTTCTTGGGTGGTTCTCTGATGATGATTTTAGAATCGCTTACTGCCCGTCTCAAGGTTAGCGTACGTTCCTGTAGAGATAGGTTTGTGAGGGATTGTAAAGATGAAAATGGTCGATTTAAATAATATCCATAAGGACCCATTTCTCTTCTCTGCCATGGACTGGTTGTAATCCTGTGAAACAAAGATATTTTATTTTTATATAGAAAATAGGTTAAAATATAGTCATATACGTTCACGATACGACAAGATCATCTGTCGCAACCTAGGAGGCACGGAGCCTACTTAGGGTGACTAATCCATCCCACTAGCCCAGTGTGGGTTGTTGCATATATCTTTTAATTTCTTCGCCGACATGTCCAGTTGCGATGATTTCCTTCAACGTAAGAATGTGGTGAAACATAGTATTTGATGCTAAATACCATATCATAATGGGTGGTGAAGATCGCCGTGGTCTTGTGTACCAGTACACCGCAAGAGGCGACACACCGAACAACCAGATCACCCATTGCTGCATTATGTTCACTGTCGCCAATTTCTCCTCGTCCATCAGAATCTCGCCCTGTAAGACGTACACATAATTAGCAAATTATATTATGAATGTGAATGATGAGACTCGGGTAGAATTTTCAAACCAATGCAACTTGACACTGCGGGTAATTGAGCATAAATTTGCAACGACGAGTAAAAATAATCCTAAGAACTTACTTCTTCGTCGCAATAGTCTATGAATAATTTGATGAGGCCCACAGACACGTGCCAGAAGTGGAGGCTGTATAGCACCATCCATACGAACAGGAGATGCTGGAAATTACAATTAGGTATAGATGATCTTTTTCGCCAAAAGATTGGTAAGTTGGGGTTCTAGTTAAAAACTTCTGTAAGTGCCTTTAGAACGTATTCTTGACTTAAAACTAGCTAACTAGGGAGGAGTGGCGGCAGCTGGTGAAGTAAGTCTACGAGACATCATGACCACAACCAGTCTGAAAAAACTGCAGCGATGAAGAACTAGATCTTAGAAGTATTCTAACCAATCTATATGATACCCATGTTACTTAACCTCGTTTCTACATAACAAAGTGTGAGCATACTTGCAGAACGAGTTCCCATAGCGCCACTCTTCTGAACATGAATCTACGGAACATGGAGACGAGCAAGCGATGGGCGAACGCGGAGGCACCGATTGCCCACAGGATTGTGGGCACTATAGATATGTAGTGGTTACCGCATTTTGCCCATTCAATTAGCTAAAAATAAATGATAGATCGGTTTGAAGGACGACAAGCCATTGTCGACCCAACTCAGTAGGTTAAGGATAGGGATGTAATTAATTAGTTAATATTATTTATGTTGTGATTGATTGGTAGGTTGTCAAAGTTAATAATCAAAGACAGATTTTGGGTAGAAAGATAGTGAAAGACTGGAACTTCCCCCGTTCCTTTAACAGTCCCACGTTATTCAACAGTGAGTGAGGACTAGCAAACTTACCTCTGAAGCTTCGACAAGAAGCAAGTTCCATAAATATTGTGTCCACATATTTAGATCTCATCTCATCAGGAATTTGAATGCCAATACTATGTATAACTGTTAAGTATAATTGCTGCTTAAGTTGTGTTTGTGCAGTCCTTGATTTTGATTCGCATTTTGACAGGCTTTTTGCAACTTTTATTGACAATTTGTAAAATTTGACAATATATCTGATGTTTGTCAAGATATTTTTAATTTTATTTAGTTTGATACAAAGGTATTCGCTCGCGTGTCTTTTATTGAAAAAAGATTTTTTTATAAATTTATTTAAGTTGGGAAGATTCGGATTCTGTCTCTAATATTACTACAATTAGCTTGGATACTAAAGAATTCAGATTTGCTGGATTTAATTGATGTGAAAATGGAAGTGAACGAAGGAAAAGTATAACAAAAAAGAGCGTGTCGGCTCAATTGGTTTGCTCTTGGTATGCTAGTAAAATCAATCGTATCAAAAAAGTCCATCCTCCGTCTGCTAAACATATGTTGGGCTTGTTTTTACCAGTGCGTTTTACCTAACTTAACTTGAGAGATTATCTTGGAGGAGTACACTGTGGAGAGAAATAAAAACATACAAAACCTCATGATATTAATTAGTTTATTTTCATTTTTTTCTTGTACAACATTTTCAACGCCATAAAACATTTGTTGACGTAGCTTCTTCAACACGAGGGTATTCACATGGCTTGTCGGTGTTACAATAACACCTGGTGGCCTGGAATAGATGATACAATGATAATAAAAATAACATTAACATGATGATTGGTTAGATACGTGTATATATGTATTTTTGATCATCATCATTGTTCACTTCAGTTATCAATAATATGCTAAGAAATATGATTACAACCAAAAGAGCGGCGTTGGCTCAGAGGTTAAGCACTTGACATGTAATCTACAGGCGGGTTCGAATCCCACCATGTACCAATGCGTTTTTAATTTACAGCGTGGTTGACAGCCTAGTTACCTCGTAACGTAGGGTAGACTCCAGGCCCCACAGTGGGGACCTATAGTGACCTTATGATGATGATGTTATAATTACAATTACATTTATAAAATGTTTAAGCTTCTCGATCGCTTCGCCAGTGGTGTCACTAGTTTGTATCGGGAAGGGGAGAGGCGGAAGAGGTCCGTCGTGCTTCTTGACATAGAGGGCGGAGTCGCTGGTGCGCTGGCCGCCAACTGGGCAGGGGTGCGCCAGCTGCGCCGCGTATGCCCGCAGGTCCACCGACGACGCTCTCCTCGTGTACAGCGTACTGTCACTCTAGGTGAAAACAGAAAACCTAAAGTTACCAGTACCACTTGACGTGTAATCTCAGGCTGGAACTTTCGGTTAAAAGCATGCAGATGGTGATTTGGTTACTGTATCACTAAAACAAGGCTTGCTAGTTATATCTGATTAAGCTTATTGTCTTCTGCTTTAAAACGGTTATTATAACAATAGTGAATCTAAAATATAAAAGCAATTAATACATTCTGGAGTTATAAAATAGTATTACGTTTGTGCGTAGCTATTTGGCGGCGGTTCAGACTCGTGCCTGCCGAGGCGCTGCTGCACTTTGGCTACGAATGTCTGGAGGTTCATAATGGTCCTGTCCACTCCTCGGGCAGTGAAGACATGCAGTTCGTTTTTCCTGATTTGAGTAATCAAAATTAGTACTAGCTAACTTCCATCTTAATTTAAAGGCTAAGATATTTTTAGTTGGAAGTAAGGCGAAGGTTCAATATACAAACCACTGCTCTATGTAGGGCACGGTGAATCTTTCACAGTAGTGCTTCCTGATGAAGTCTGCATAGCAGAGGGCAAGGAACCAGCATGCGGTGATGTGTATTTGTCCCTGCTGTTGGCGCAGGAAGCGCGTTAGCGGACCCAACGGCACGAGCTCGCTCTCCCCTCCCAGTAGGCCCACCGTTGTCATCTCTAACAGGACGCCTGGACTCTGGTTCACGGATAGTAAGACTTCGAATGCACTATTTCCTTTTATTTCATCGTCTTCTCTTTGGCCTATTCATTAATTTTATTAATGATTTTTATGTACGGATTAAATATACTTACGTCTCTAATTAAAGTGTCCAAATAGCACAGGAAAAACCGCGTGAAACACACCCACAGGTGGACCATAAGCGCCAGCATTCCCAGTACCATCGTCGACTGAAATATTAAATAAAATGGATATTCGAAATATGGTCTAATTACCCATAGAAAATATTCCTAGACTACTTGATGGAACAAAAAGCCACTAAAATAACGTGACTAAGATAAAGTTAGTTACAAAAGTTCATTTTGCGAGAGTGGTAGGAAGCGAATTTTAATTACACTTGAAGACATTTAAGGATTCAAAATTAAAGGCTATTTATACTTAATTTGTATAACAACGTACTCGTAACTACGCAAGGCCACTAATGAGTTAGAGGAAGATACAGTAAGAGTTTTTACTATGAGCATATTCTCTAGCAATGTAGGGTGCGCCGGAGCGCCGCCAGAGTTGATGGTCGCCTGAAGCTCGCTGTACAGGAAGAGGGCCGCGGCGCTGGCGAACACCGCCGTGGGGCCCATCCCCCAGCCCTCGCCGTTGCAACTCAGCCACGTCACTATCGTGTTCCCGCGGCGTGTGGCCAGATCCTACACATTCTACCTATTTACTCCGACTACTTTGTGAATCAATCTTTATATTATATCTACATGAGTTGTTTATTGCGATTATCCTTGCTATTTTCTCTCTTAAAATAGTTAACATCATATGTGTACTATATTTGACAGATTCAATCCATTTGGTCTTATCAAAGCTTCTGTGTCGAAAGTCACATTGTAAGATGGGCTTGTGCCCCAATGCAATAGCGACATATCTGCGTTGCTTTGGAGTTCCACGAAATTTTGTCTTTCTAGTATTATTGTAATTTAACACTGCAGTGAACTTCCTCGACGTTCTAGGTTACTTCGTTGTCTATTATTGGCCTATCTTAATATAATGAGAACAGTACTTACGTAGAGTGTACAATAGCTTACAGACTGGACCGCCATGCTTGCGCCGCTGGCTGGTTTCCAGTAGCTCCCCTTCCAGGCCGAGCATGTTTAGAACACAACACACATCGCAAAACTTGAAATTTATCTTTAAACTTTTAATTGTTGATATTTTTGTACGTTGTACGCTTTTTGATTTTTTTTATGTCAAATAATTTTTAGTATTGTCAGAAACTAGACGGCTGTGACGTTTATGTGACAGATATTTTGTAAATATTGAAAAGTTTGAAATATGTTAGCGTCCGTGGATCAGCGGTTTAGGCACTTGAATTGTAATCTGCAGGTCCTGGGTACGAATCCCACCATTTACCAATGTGTTTTTCGATTTTCGATTTACATATGTACATTTATCTGACGTTCTTACGGTGAAGGAAAACATGGTGAAGCAACCTGCACATATCTATGAAGAAATTCAAAGGTATGTGTGAAATCAACCCGCACTTGGCCAGCGTGGTTGACTATGGCGTAGTCACCCCTAACTTGGGTAGGCACCGAGCCCCTCGGTGGGGACGTATAGAGATAATTTGTGCCGATTTGATTTTTGCCATTTTGGCGTTAACGGTTGCGTTTGGTATCGGTAGTTAGGGTTTGATTAGTTCAGTTTCAACTGAACATCAGAACTTAAATGTTGTTGGTTTTAAATACTATTGAATTTTCTAAAGGAATTATGAATAAAACACAATATTTTTTTAAAACAAACATCTAGAGAGACATGCAATGGCTGACACATGCCCCATCTAGACATTTGTTATTTTATTAAACAGTTTTTTTTTAGATTATATATTTCCCTAACACAACAACAGTTAATCGTTAACAACTTAATTACAATAAATAATTTTAACTAAAAAAAAATAACTGTTTTTGTGGGTATATGAACAATTTTCGCTAATTTTTTTATAAAAACACTAATTTTCACTACCAAGTTACACAATTTATTAAATTTATAGATTAACATGCGGATTAAATATATAGTTAAATACGAGTTTATTTATTATATAAATAAGATTATATATTTTTCTACATTTCTACATTAAATATAATTAATACATTTTTAGTAAAATTCTACTACAAACATCTATAAAACTATAAGTATTGGATATCAATTTTTTTTTGTTATATACCTTTTAAATATTATGTAGTCTAAGTACTTCAATGTTGCAAACACATATATGTTACACTAAAGTTACAAGGCAGCTAAACGCCTATATATTATATCAACACATAAGCTCTACAACACATTACATAATACAGTTTTTCTTTAATATATAACCTTAAGTATATAAGAGTAATGAATCAACTACACTAACATCTATGTATTATGTTTTCACAACATGTATGTCATATTTCTGTATTCATTGCCCGAGAATACAGAAATATATATAAATAAATAAGTAATTATAAATAAGCATATATTTTTTATTTTATAGTCTGCTCAGCAATTTTATTTATATTTACAATTTTATTATAACATTTAAAATAAGAAAAATGTTACTTTTACGTATATATTTTTACATAAAAATAATTTGAAAATTCGTAAACATTAGATGGAATTTATGAACGAAATATATATGACTGGAAAACTCGTACTCAAAACTGACATATATTTTATGAAACAAAAAAGAATCTTATATTATTTAAATTTAGAAAAAAAAACTTAATTATAATTTACAAGCTACAACCCGTCCATTTCTAACTTTTTATATCTTAAATATTATTTATGTAGCGATTATATAATTATATCGATTATATTTAATTAGTAGCCTAGAAACTACAGTAAATAAATAACGTGATATTTGAGATTATGATATTATGTACTTAAAAACACTACGATTATATAAACTTTATTACCAAAGCATTTTACTAAAACATTAAACTTATATTTTATTCTTATCTCTGAATACACACTTTTGAATTACGCAAAATAAATAATAAGCAAATTTAAATCACTATTTTATAACGACAAAACACTAGTTATGAAATGTACTTGTGAACCTCCAGTATATTTTCTATCGGCATATTTGATTTTGATGATACTGGAAAAGAATAATCGTAAAATTTTCAATCTTACTAATATTATAAATGCGAAAGTTTAGGTAGATGGATGGATGTTTGAAGTTGTAGTGTAGGCATAAATGTAGTGTTGTTTGTCTCGAGCGTACACAGTCGATGTTGGACCTTTGGACCGGCAGCACGTGTCGATACGTGAACAAGCTAAATATAACGCAACCAATGCTACAGAAGGTATCTCCGGAATGGCTCAATAGTGCTTAATGAAATTTGGCACAGATATAGAACATAGACGCACACGTCTACACGCTACTTATGAAGTTTTTTCTAATTCCGTGTAGACAGAGTCTTGACCAAAATCTTCTGTTCTATAGTTAACAATATGAACTTTGTATTGATGAAAAAATACATATCCGAATTATATTTAAATATATAACATTATATTATTTCGATTGAATTTGACTATAAGCGAGATAAGATAATAATGTAGTCAAAACATACAAGAATTAATTATTTATGTTTAGAATCAGACACGGTGAAAGAAAGAGTTAGAATGTTACATATTGTTGTCATTCTCTCCTTCTCTGTTAATACTTCTATAGATTGATCAAGGTAAGATACGTACGTAATAAGATCAGAGTTAGACAAGCCACTCGACGGGAGGCGGCAGTCACAGGCTGCAGACGGCCACTTCGCCCGCCGGTGCCGAACTCTCCTCTGGTCGCTTAATTGTTCTTATACGCTGCAAAAACATGAGAAATTAAACAATTGCCTTCACTCTTAAAATAAATTTCTTTGTCAAGAACATATATGCTGTTCATAATGCTAGAAATCTTACAAATTATAATATTTAGTACAAAAAATGCCTTATAAAATGTCAAAGTCATATATATGTATGTACAGAAGAAAACAAAATAAATCGTTAACAAATTGTACTGCAAAGTTTCAGTGTAAAAAGTAACCACTGTAGACTATGTCTCGGACAAATTTCTAATGAAAATAAATAAGTCAAGAATTCTAAACTTGAAAGAACATTGAAGAATTGACCACTTATGGCTTTAAAAGTGAACTATTCAACTATGCAACAATATCTCTCCAGTATTTATAATACAGCATACCTGGCAGAAGCTGCCCGGGGTTATGATGAACTTGTAGATGATGTACAAAGGCACACAAGAGACGGTGGTGCCTGTCATCACCCAGCCGACAGCAATAGACCAGCCAGGGTACGTGTACTCGCCGCCCAACATCTCCTCGTGTGATAACACGGAAAATACGAACAGACCAAGCAGGAACACAGGACTAAGAGAAGGTGGGATATAAACATATTATTTAATTATTCCCGGCTATCTATTGCAAGTGACAATCATTAAATTGGAAAAAAGCGTATTTTCTTAAAGTATTATAAAAAAAATGATGTGTTTCTTGGACTAATAAGGTTTTGGCTAAGAAGTATTTATCGCTTTTATTTGTGGTTGTTACCTGATATAAGTCCAGCAAGCGCGCCAGAATATCCCGGGCGTGTGTCCAAGCATGCTGCGTACGTCGGCAGAGAATCTGTCGACGCCGTACAGCCAGCACACGCCTGCAGCCTCCGCGAACACCAGGAACAAGATCGCCAGACCAGGGCCGTAGACGTTCAGGAGATCCACCAAGTATACACCGCCCTGATGAAAGTAGAATTTAAGTGGGATACGTATTTAGTCTTTGAAATCATTTTAATTCTGAGAAAGCCAGTGTGGAATGGCCAAAAAAATCGGTGGTTCTTATCTGTTGTTTATGATAAAAACTGTGCGAAGAACTACTTTTCGTATGTAAAATGTAGTTTCATCATAACTAGTGGCGTTATACAGTCCAACAAAATTGGCAATCAATAAAAGATCCATCTATCATGGTGACCTTTTACTGTCTTTGGAAATAAAACGAAGATAAATAATTTTTAAAGTGGAAACTCAGTATGTTCAAGTGCCGTTTTGCACTTACTTACTATAGAAGTACTTGACGTAGTACACTAAACCATGTTAGTATTCAATAAATAAAACATAAGTCAGAAACAAAAGTGTATAGTGCCAGTAGTCAATCTTTCGTCGGGTCATCGTGTTGAGTGGGTAGTGTTGAATTATTCAAACACGTCCAGAGGTATGGTTGTAAGATAGCGGTGTTATTTATCACGTGAGTTTATTAACAATGTTAGCTAAAGGTACGCGTCTATTGTCGTAAGGACATCTATGGACGTACTGCATGCAGGAATTAAACGAATTTGATTTCTCTTGATGCGATGCGGACGACACGGATGATGGACGCAGCTATGTAAAATCATATAAAGAAACTAAAATCCGTTGCGGGCCGTGCGTCGGGCGTGGACCAATGGACGCGTACAATAATACTACGAAATAATACGGCCAAATGTTATTTTGCTTTAAACTTTATTTCTATTATGATGTCGATAATCGCTCGCTACACACAAGCTACGCTCCATTTGTTCTACGCATTGAAATTCTTCAATTTGCCGTAACATATATCATAAAACAACTGCTGATTTGAAACAAAACGTAATACCAAAAAAGCTATCATCGTAATCCTTCGACTCTGAAGAACCCTTGTTGAAGTTAACTTGATATTATTTTATTGTCGAATTAAATCGTAAAGAAATGTTTGTATACAGTCGTAAATATTAAGTATAATATTGCCTGACGATCCGTTTAGAGTGGACATTAGACGCAAAATATTTACAGTCGAACCATAAGCAAGAGTTTCAAGGGAACACGATATTTTTATCGCTTATAGAGAAAACTCTTTTTTCGCTCGTACTGACGTAGACTCGGTTCACTAGGTTTCATGGTAGGAATCCTAAAATGGGTTATAAAATCAACTACCATTATTCCAACTGTAAAACAATAAAGAGAAAAAAACGATGAATATTCTTAAGTTCTTGCTAATTTAAAGGGACTACTTACGTATGTTGTGGTCGGCAAAGCGCAAATGTAGATGAAGAGCAAAAGAACAGCAACAAATATCTCTCGATGTCTTCCCAATACGCGAGGATATTCGTCACAAAGTGCTGTAGTCACTGCTTCTAAACCTATACAGAACAATTGAACCGTGAGTCTTCAATATCGTAAAACCCTTTAAACCAACAATTTTGCCATCCCACTAATTCTCTTTTAA